TTTCTGTATTACCCTCAGGAAAAAATCCAGATGTGGCTGTGTTTTCATGCCAGAAACTTTCATTCAGAGGAGTGCCATCTGGATTTCCAGAATGAATTTCTTGCCATACTTTGGCATTAGCATTTAAACCAGTACTTTTATGTATTACCGACTCCACGCAGAGCGACTTGTCTGCGTCCTCCCCGAAGGATCATTCAGGCTGCTGCTGCAACTCCCAATTGACTCCCTGAATCAATGACATCTTCTCTCTTGCCCTGGGCTGAGGCTTGCTTGTCGTTGTTGTGTTCTTAAACTGTAAAAAAGACCCTGAAATTACTATCTCAGTTGAGGCTTTCGTATAAAGAGCAAAGAAATTATGCTCCTTTGCCCCTTAGGGGTTGATCTAATATGGGCCTGTCAATCATTTGAACAGCAAAAACAAAAATAAAAAAGGGCTTCAAGAAACCTGTCTGCTCTGGCTCCATAGTGGTGGTACATGCCTTTCATCCCAGCACATGAGAGGCAGAGAAGAGGGAGATCTCTGTGTTTTCAAGGTCAGCCTGATCTACATAGAGTGCTACAGACCAACCGGGGATACATAGTAATAACCTGTCTTAAAAAAAATCCCAAGGCCTGGCTGTGGTGGTGCACACCTAAATTCCCAGAACTCAGGAGGCAGAGGCAGGCAGATCTCTGTGAGTTCGAGACCAGCCTGGTCGACAAGAGCTAGTTGGAGGACAGCATCCATAGCCACAGAGAATCCTTGCCTCAAAAAAAAAAAAAAAAAAAAAAGCTGTCTGCTAAGGACAATTTAAGAAATAATATAAAGGGGATACAGAGCAGACTCAGACATTAAGAACAATTGCTGCTCTTGCAGAAGACCTTTCTTTGGATTGCAACAATCACATGGTGGCTCATAACTATCTGTAACTCCAATACCACAGACTCTGATGCCCTCTTCTCACCTCCTTGGGCACCAGGTATGTTCATGGTATATACATACATACAAACATACATACCTACATAAATACATACATACATACATATGCAGGAAAAACACTCATAAGCATAAAATAAAAAAGTCTATCAAGTAAAATAAAATAAATAGTATAACGCTCACCTAGTTATACATGGGAACCAAACCACTGGTTTCTTTTTGTAATATATTTCTTCTTTAAATTCCCTGTGTAACAAACCTCTTCTTTAAATATCAAATTTCTACAGAAACACTATTTCTATTTATTTTCTTGATTGAAATCTGTGAGATACAACACTGCTCCAAGAAGGCAGTCATTAATTATCATTACTTTAAAGATATGTTTTATTATGTGTGCCTGTTTATGTGTGTATACATGATGGCAAGTGCCTGTGGAGGTCAGAAGAGGATATCAGAAGCCCTTGGACTGTGATTTCAGTGGTAGTCGGTTGATCTGGTAAGTGCTCTTGTCTACTAAGCCATTTTTCCAGCCCCAAATACATTGTTTTTAGGTTTCAGACAAACTAGAGAAGTTTGAGGCTTAGCCAGTGTTACTTACCTTATATCCTTATATGTGTCATTGATTAGATTTTGGTGCCAAATAAATGGAAACCCTAATACTTAAAATCTCCCTTGTCCTGGAACTTTCATGATGCATCCATAGAGACTATTTTTATTTTGGGGAAATTGAAATGGTCTCAGGTAGCCCAAGCTCTATTTGTACTTGTTACTTAGTGAAGACTAGCCTTTTCCTTCTGATTCTTCTGCCCCTGCCTCCCTCCAGAGTGCTGGTATTACAGGCATCTGCCACCACACCTTGCAATAGAGTTAACTGCTAAACTATGACACCCTCTCCTTTCTGAGAATCAAGAATACATAGAATTGAAAGATTTTAGTTTGCTGAGAGAAAAAGATTTAAAAGATTTTGTTCACAGACAGAAAAAGTTTCCCACAGGCCTTGTCCCATTACAAGAAAAAGTGTTTGATTCTGGATGCTACAGATATCCTGAACAATTTGTCTACGATGGGGATGTCTAAGAGAATCAAAAAAGAGCAAAAAATAATAAAAATTTAAAGAGGGTCAAAAGAAAGTCATAAAAGTGTCAAAAAATGTAAACTGTTTACTATGGGCTCTCATATCTATTTATAATAGTAATACGGGTGAAAAATATTGACCACGCCAGGTTAATTCTGTCTAAAAGTTTTAAAAATTAATTTTATATACTTGTTAAAAAGTTCTATCTGTGTTTTCTGGTATAAATGTAAATTTTATTATAAGCCAAAAGCCAAAACAAAAATGGTTCAAATATTTTTACTGTCTAATTCTAACAGCAGCCAGTCACTTATGGACATAGTTCAGAATT